GACCGAATCAAAGCAGGTAGACAAAAGGTGAGAGAAGTGAGCTTAATATCATTACAAAATACTATAAACCCCACATAAGCAGCAGCCTCTGATGCTGGAAATGTTAGTTTGCTGCCAGTCCTTGCCAGTGTGTGTGTGTGTGTGTGTGTGTGTGTGTGTGTGTGTCTGACAGTGAATAAACAGAAAAGCAGACAGTTTTGTTTACGGGACGAAACTCCAAACCAAATGATTTCACTTCGTTCTGCAGAAACAGCATTTAAAAAAAAAATGCAAAAAACAAGTTCTTCATCTTCAAAGACGGCAAATAAAGTTTAAGTATATGTTAAGGCTGTGATAATGTGCTTAAAAAGTTCAATCTTCACGACCTGCTGGAAGACCTCGCTAGGTTGTTATCCTATAGTTGCTAGCTTCATGTGACGTCTCTCTGGAAGTTGTAAAGACATTCTCTGCCACTCAAAAAACTGTTGCCATGATGGCCAGTTCGAAGTGTTACATGTCAGAGCCAGGAACAGTCTCATTGTTAGTATATGCTGAGCTGGCAAAGGGTTCAGTGAGGGCACCTCTTTTGCCCGTGTTTGGGCCGTCCACAATATTCAGTGGCAACATGCAGTGTGACGGGCAGTCTTGACATCAGCAGGGCCACGCCTATTTTTTTATTCGTTCAGTTTCCCCCGAGGCCGTTCCCATAAAACATAAAACTTTTGGATTACATAAACCCTGGTGATGACACCAAAGGGTGATAGTACCCAAATGAAAGGACGAACATAGCAAAACTATTAGAATCTACTATATATTGTTTACACACCACAATGGAACTATTTTGGAACAGCTAAGTGGACGTGTCAATGAACAAAAGGGGACAAAAAACAAAACAAATTCACAGCCTTGTCCCAGCAGGCAAATCTTAAAGTTATAGTTCACGCTAAAATGAAAATTCAGACATTGTTTACTCAACCTCACATCTTTCCAAATGCATATACCTATGACTTTTCTGTTGAATACAAAGTAGAAAGTTTGAGAAATATTTAACATTAAATGTGCGGTCACATTTACTGTTGTTCAGCAAAATGTTGCGGCTGAAATCCAGTTATTTCAATAGGAATATATGCGATTGACTGGGAATTTCACAAAAGATTTCTCCCCGAATAAATTCAAGTTGGTCACGCAGATTTGCCGCATTCATAAACAGAAAGCTTCTTGGGTTCATACATCGCAACACTATTGACAATAAATTGTGCATGCTTTTTGCACACAAAGTTTTGCCAAAATTTCACTTATGTGACTGCATCTTAAAAATAACATGTTTATCTATTTTAAACTTTTACATTTTTGTTTTAAAATGTATATTTTATATTTATATTATATTCATATATTTATACGTATATATCCTATTTAAAGGAATAGTTCACCCAAAAATGAAAATGTTGTCATCATTTATTCACCCTCATGTCGTTCCAAACCTGTGTAAGTTTCTTTCTTGCTATGGAAGTCAATGGGGACCATCAACTGTTTGATAACCAGCAAGAAAGAAACTACAGATTTGGAAAGACATGAGGGTGAGTAAATGATGACAAAATTTCATTTTTGGGTGAACTACCCCTTTAATGATATTGACTACTGTCAAATTCCAAAAAAGCACCATTAAGGTACCATAAAAGTGGTTAATATGACTCATCCTCTATATTTCATATCACATGACTACAGTAGACTTGTGCACAAGTCACATGGATCACTTTTACGGTGGTTTCGGAGCGATGATCATGGAATGACACGAGGGTAAGTAAATAACAGAATTTACATTTTTGCATTAACTTCTCCTTTAAAAGTCAGGCTGAAACGGTATTCCAATGGTGATAAATGCTAACAAATGACAAAAAATTTGCATTTTTGACACACATCCGCTATACCCCAAGGACTCCAAAGCTGAGAGAAGACAAAGCTCATGGACAGGACAGAGACGGAGAGGAGAGTCTTATATAAGGGCCACCTAAATACAGTGCAACCCTCCATCTCTGTTCACTTTTTCTTTGCCCTCTTTTTTAGAGAGGTTACATTTGTTTTATCTTCCTGCATCGGACATTGGTTTCCATTCCCCCACCCCACCCAATCCCTCTGGCTCTTTTCCTTCTCCCTGTCCTTACACCACCTTGGTGGTGGTGACCCGGACGCTGCTGAAGCACTTTCCCATGGCTTCGAAGAGCGGGTCGCAGAAGGTGTGCACACAGATGGAGTAGACTCGACTGACACAGTGGATCTCGATTAGGTAGCTCTTCACGCAAGGCACCACCGCCCAGCTTATTCAAGAATAACTTTTAAATTATTATTGTTATTTCAAAATATATTAAATAATAAATATTTCATACACTATTTACAGAAAGAAATGTATATATATAATAAAAACGTTATATAACTGCAGAAATACAGCTGTATGATGAAGGAGAGGATGGCGAAGAAGATGCCCCATACCAGGGCGAGCGGGATGCCTACCAGGGCCGTCAGCAGCCTGTAGCACCAGTATTTGGTTACTGTGAAGGTGGTGAAGCTCGCTTTCCACACGCCGTCAAAGCTGTAGGTGCCAGCAGGCTCGGCGATCACATCCTCAAAGTCCACCTGGAGATGAAAGGGATTTCAGCATTATATCATTTTGTATCGGAATTGTTCAATTTTGTATTGGTATAATCAAAATAAAACTATTTTAATTTTGCACAACTGGTTTCCAACTAACCCATATTTTACAATATCATGATCAAAACTGTTTCTGAACATCCTTAATCTACTGCATGTCTTCTGCTTCCTGGTGGATTATCCATAATCTTAAGGTAGTACTGCTGCTTGCATTAATTGTTTCCAGTGCCACCGTGACAAACTGACCACTGACTCACCACTTATGTTACGAAGCCAAGCTTTCTGTTGAGCTATAATGCGAAACTATTACGATTTTTTAGCAGTATGCACGAATTGTAATGTTCTCCGAACATGTTTCTTAATATTAACAATAACATTTAATAATTATAATATTTAGACAATAATACAAACAGTTTGGCCTATTAATAAATTACATTTTGTAATTTGTATAAAATATCACATATGCATGCACTTGTTACATATTACGTTATACTATTGCTGCACTTATCTATACATGAGTCAATTTCTAAGTCTTTTATTATTATTCAAGTGACATAAAGTTTAAAAGTTGCATAAAGCAGAAAAAAGTTAATGGAATGACTTACCTTCACCACATCGGCATTTAAATGCTTTGGGTCCCGGTTGACCAGGTCAATCTCTTTGGTGTGGACATCCTGAAGTGTCTTTTCGTTGATGCTGTCGTTATCCATTTCTTTATTATTTGGTTTGTAAATGTTCCCCTGTTTCCTGATGAACGGTGAGTGAGCGTAGTCCTGCGGTTCCAAAGAAAACAGAAAATGAAGTTCATGAGCGTGGAGGGGAGACTGGTGCGCAACTCAGCACTGCCCTGGCATGGGATGGTTTTAAGCGGATAGAAATGAAGCACCACACCCCTCTGGAACACAGCGGAGCGACCCGCCGCACGGGGGCGCCATTTTACATTGTGCGCGTGCTCTTCTCTTATTCCACAGCAGAAAATACACTCGCAATTTAAAATATTTACCCGTTGGAACGTGTTTAAAATATGTTAGTTATTCTGAACTAAAAAAAAGTTCTTAAGAAGTAATTGCATTGCGCTTCGACAACATTATATTGGATTAGTGAACAGTTCATATTTTTGCTAATATTATTATTAGCTAATATTATGCGAAAGTGTGCATAAAGTGAACAATGGATGGGGACGTGCGGCTTGCCGTACAAATACATGCCAGAAAAAGATAAGACCTCAAATTAGTCAACATGCGCGGAAAAACGCCAGTTGTAGAGCAAGTGCCAACACACCGCTTTCATGTGATGATAATCCCCTAAAAGTGTTTGAGTAATAAGTAGCCAACTCAGCTAAAGGTTTATTGCATAAATGACTCAATAAAGCCTGAACTGAGGTAAAATAGGTGTCATTCTCACCTCTTCAGGTGCCCCGTCCTTGTATCCGCTAGTCATGCTGTCCCGTGCCTAAAGTGCATTCAGATGAGTGTGTGGAAACAAGACAATCAGTAGAGAGGAAGCTGTGTGGGAGGCGTGGGGATATTGCTTACAGTAGGAGAGTCCTTTCCCTTAAAACAGCCCTCTTTTCTGCATACTAAAGTCCAATAAAGCTTTTATCTACTGAGTCGTGTTTTATCTCTTCTGGAGTCTCTCATGGCATAAAGTGGGAGTTCCTCTCTCAGTCACCGAGGACTAGCTGTGTGTTCAATGAATGAGACTGAATCCCTCCATTAGCCTGCCACTCAGAGCTACGCAGTTAGTGGTTGGATATTTTTGACGTGATTTTTCCCAAATGGGAGGCATATTTGGGCACTGTACCAACTTCTTATGAACGAATCCCATGTACAGTACAGAAACATCCACTCGTTTTTCATTAGCAGTATTTTCCACTGTAATGTTACTGTAATGGTAAGTCATCACAATTAGGCTATAAAGCAACAAAATGGAGGAGGTAGGCTATGAGGATTGTGTAGTGACCAAAATTAAATGTTAAACAAATCAAACTAACTTATAATTTAGCTACTCAAGTAGCCAACCTACTATCTTACATCTAATGTGAATCTTGAGATGGTTTTCAAAAAAGTATTAAGTATGCTGAACACTTATTGGCTACTTTTCTCAGCCAACTTAACCACAAAAGTTTTAGTTCTGTGTGGAAATTCATACTGACTTGAGGTGTATATAAACCTGAAATGTGACTATTCTAAGGTTGGTTTGCATACCGAAATGTACCTCAAGGCAAGACTTGCACTTAGTTTGGAATGTTTTCAGCAACAATAACTCTGGTTTATCTCATATTTGTCCAACTTTACTATCATTTACTTTACTTATCTATATATTTTAGTGTGCATTTACTGTACCTAACAAGTATTTGTGTATCTAGGTCAGGTCCTGGCAAAGTGAGGGATGTGACAGGCAATGCAAAGTATGCAAAAAAACTACGACAGTGGTAAGGTCACTCACTGTAGCTCAGGTAAAAAGCAACACTTTTTTTTATAGTAAACCTATTCTACAAAGTCAAAATGCATAATGAAACATTTAATAAAATCTAGCTTTTAAGAGCTCAATAGAACACTTAGATCCTTCTACAAAAACATACACTTTATGCAGGTACACCGTTATCCTCGGGCATATCTGCTGCATTGAACATGTCACCCGGAGGACTTTTCTCAATGCACAAGACATTAAATCTCGTCAGGTTAACATTCCATGTGCCACACACTGATCTCCGTGGTATGGTCTCTCAGCAAAGAAAACAATCCATCCTTTAACTTCCAAAAATAATTTTATTTGCTGAACTGAGAGACATTTAGTTCTGTCTTTCATAAGCTGAGCTGTGTTCAGCATGTTTGCTACATGACATCATTCAACAGGGGCGAGGAAATGGCACCTGAGCCTCTAATGTTCCATTTCACAGTCAAATATTCCATTTAATATAACATATCATTATAAAAAGAAGTCATTAATACAGAAGAAAATGAAATGTGTTATATTTGTATAGAAATGCTCTTTATAATAGGAATGTACCTATAATAAATAGTTTATACACTGAAATGCCATCAAATCATTTAATTTACTCTTCTTGATAAATCATCTCCAAACAATATAAATATTAACTCAGAAATCGCACAACACTACAGCCCTATTGGAAGTAGTTGCATCATTTTTTCCTTACAAGCACATCATACGCTTATTGCAATATTATATTTACTGTAGTAGCACAATATCTTAAAGTAGTTCATCCTTAAATGAACATTTGTTGACACTTTACTCACTCTCAGGCAATCGAAGATGTAGATGAGTTTTCTCTTCCGAACAAATTTTGAGAAATTTAGCATTACTACTTGCTCACTAATGGATCCTCTGCAGTTAATGGGTGCCGTCAGAATGAGAGTCTAAACAGCTGATAAAAACATCACAATAATCCTCAAGACTTCAGTCTTTCAATTAATATCTTGTAAAGCAAAAAGCTGTGTGTTTGTAATAATTCCATATATTTGGAATGAATTGCAATATTATGGATTATGGTCTCATACTTTAGCCCGGAAGCAACTGTTTGAAGGTAAAAATGTCTTGATGAATTTATTACAAACATACAGCTTTTCACTTCACAAGACTTTAATAGATGGACTGGAGTCGTGTGGATTACTTGTGGATTATTGAGATGTTTTTATCAGCTGTTTGAACTCTCATTCTGACTGTACCCATTCACTGCAGAGGATCTATTGGTGAGCAAGCGATGTAATGCTAAATTTCTCCAAATCTTTTCTGATGAAGAAACAAACTCATCTACATCTTAGATGACCTGAGGGTGATTTCATTTTCAGCACATATTCATTTGAAAAGTCTTGCATTATATATATAACAAAAGCTTAATTAGACTTACATAACAGTACTGAAAAAGCATGTCAGCATTACGAGGCTGATGTGTCAGTGCCAAAACAATGGAATGAATATTGCAACTGTGCATTGAAATAAAAAAAACTTCTTTCTCTTCTCTGTGCTTCAGAAGTCAAGGATAAATAATCCTTCAGCTAATAATCCTCCAAAAGGAGGCCACAACATTGTGAGAAAGAGATTCTGCAACACTTCTCTGCTGAGTTAGATTTGCTCAGTTTTGCACAGTCTTTACATTAATGGACGACAAGCACCGTCCAATGCTGAAGAAGAACGGCACTATGAACATGTCCATCAGGCTGGTCCAGATCACGTGGATGGAGGGCAGTGTCATCATGCAGCCCTGGATCACTGGCATCACCACCCTGCGGAGGGAAAACAGCTTATCATCATATGGGCTGATATATAAGACTTACAGAACAATCATATCAAGGTGAAATTGTTCCTCTCTCTTTGTTCTGGGGTTAAAATATAGCCTGGAACATGTGTGAAGCATTAACCTTCATATCAGATGGTTCCGATAATCATCACCTTTGATATTGTTAACAGTCAGCACATATGCAAGATCTGTCAGTCAGCATGACTAGCCCATAACAAGCATCATTCATGTCTGTAACACCTTACATTTGCAAAATCATTTTAGCATGTTGCAATGCAATTGCTTAGATGTTCTAGGTGGTTGAAGTAAAAACAGCCCATTTCCAAGTCTTTTTGATAATTGCTTTCTTTTTTCGCTTGTTTTAGCATCTACCAGGGTACAATTTAAATGCAGACAAAAACACCTGTCTTCAACAAGCCACATAATTCGTCACCCAATATAGCACCTTACACTTGCAATATTCACCAAGTAGACTTCTCTTCTCCTTTTGAGCTACACTGACATCTTGACATTAGCCATCTTATCTGGCTAATTTGTCAGGTCTACTCATTCCTAAGCTAATGGGGTCACTCTGCTACTGCAGGGTTGTTAAGTTTACAAACATCCACATGTGCTAATATTTCACCTAAGGAACACTGACCCTGAAAATGCTCCTGATTTAAACTACACAAGGGTCAAGCGCCAAGTTTCTGCTTGCATGTGTCAAACCGTTAAGAGGCCGGAGAAAAACACATGACTAGAATGCTAACAATCCAGTGTGAGTTATGTGTGGATTTTTCCACCGTGGAAATGCAGGCCCACCTGTGCTCTGCAAAACCAATATGCAAGTCTTTCTCTGTGGTATTTTTTTAAATGCCAGTCTTTATCTAAGTGGGTAGTGGCCAAGGCAAATATTCTGCAATTGGGCTGTGGAAAATACAACAGAGAGCCATCAGCCTTCCCCAACAAGAAGCCTTTTCATACCAAATATGTATACAGCTGAGGATCCCGAAAACAATCCCTGCAATGAATGCCATGGGAATGGCCAGAAACGTGGTGAGGATCCGGTAGAAGATGAATTTCACCAGCTCAAACACAGCGTGACTGCTGATCCACACTCTGTCAAAGCTGTGCGTGGAGATGGGTTCAGCAATGATGTCTTCAAAACCAACCTGTGGAATCAAACACGAAATTAAAAAAATCAATAGTAAACAAACCCTTTAGACTATCAAATTAGCCCACATGTATAAAAAGAGAGCAAGTACCAAATTTATATTTGAACTACACATCCTTAAATCCAATAAAGTCTTAAAGTTTTATTTATTGTTTATTTTTATAATTGTTTTGTTTCTTTTGAACAAGAAACACATTAACCGGACAATTTAGTCAGAAACGCAAGTTATTAATACAAACATACCTGCAGCTGAATCACACCTGTGCTGATATTCAATGCAACAGTCTTGTGTGTGATATTAAGTATTTTATTTATTGTATTTTGTTACTATCGTTTATATTAAAACAATTGGCACCTTATATGTATTTTCTTCAGTCAGTGTTTTTTTTACCCTTGTGTGTGTATGTTAATGCAGTATTGTATGCAAAACAATTATGCCAAAAAAGTCCTTGAAATTGAATTGAAAAGAAAAGATGATCGTGCATGTGCAATATTCAAAGAAACAAACTCACTCCGAAAATGCATTAATGTGCACGTGAATGGCGGTGCGAGAAAACAATTCTCATCATACCGAAAGGAACTAATATGAGCACGTTGTTAGCGCTTATATCACTCATGTTTAGTCAGTTTTAGACGCAGGTATTTACAAATAAATGATAGTATGTCAGTGTTACTGTAAGTCTCGCGTTGTCACCTACCTGTAGGTGCGCGTTAATATCTTTAGGGTCTCTGTCCGGGACTTCTGAATACACGTGCGGTTTTCCCTCCAGTATAGGTTCAATCGATCTATTGAATTCATCCTCATCCATAATGACACTGGTTTCCATTTTTTCTTTTTCAAGCCCCATTTTTTGTTTGTTTTGGAGTTGCGCGGCGCGCACTGCTGTGTGTTGCGCCTGCTGTACGCGCACTGTGCGCTCAGGGCAGGACGCGTCCACGCCCCTCACGCGCAGACAAAACACACATCGGCACTCAATTCACTGCTCCAAACAAATGTGAACCAACTATAAGAAACATTTCAGGGATACATCTCTGTCTAGCCGTCCTTATCTTGACAAACTGTTTAAAGAAATAGAACTCAAGGAATGTTATCAGATTGTTATTGTTATTTCCTCTATAGACTATGGCCTGAACCTAGTTAGAGGATTAGAATATTTTTCTCAGGGGTTTCCTCACATTTTACAGATTCATTCATTCATTCATTTATAGTTTATTAATACAAAATGTTACAATTTTTAAAACTTCAAGCCGTGGCTAAATGTTGCTCTTCCACAGTTAGTTAATAGCTTTTCACTGGCTTCTTTGAACAGTGTTTTATTCTTTTTTACTATAAAAAGAAGATTCTTTACATACAGTAATGGCTCTATTTTGAACCAAGTAGTCCTGAAATTATTCTTTTTGTTTGAGCTTAGGGTTCTTTATTCTCGCCTTTTTGCTTTTTTAAATAAAAAATCCTAAAAATAAATTGAATTTATTATCCATGTTAGAGTTTTCAATTATTACTTGGGTTTAAACATAAAAAGCGAGGGTTTTGTATTTCTTAGAAACATTATTCCTACTTGAGAAGGCAGTATTTTTCATCTTTCAGACACAGTCGATGACTGTTAGTAGATAATTTGCCTGCCTTAACTTCAGACAATAGGCCACTCTCTGATACAGTGTTGGTCTTTGCCTTCCTATTTGACTTTTTAAAGAGACAGTTCACCCAAAAATGAAAATGTTGTCATTAAAAACCTAACTTTCTTTGTGCAAAATGCAAGGGTGATGCAACTGCCTTATATCATAATGGAAAAAGCCTCATTGAAATAATTGTATTCTTGAAAATAAAACCGTATTAATAGTTTAGCAAAATCTTGTATTATTTTTCTTATGTAAAATAATATTAAGCATGTTATATTAAAAATGTTAAAATAATACTTTAACAAAATTGCTTTACGTTTTTTTTGTACTTTTTGCCCACCAAATCAATGTAGTGCAACCAACAAAGCAGAAAAAAACATGAATTAACAATAAAAAAATTAAAAATACATTTAAATTTTTTAAAAATAAATAAATATATATTAAACATATATATGTTACATGTATGCCTTGTTTTCTGTTCTCTCCGTTGTGACCTAGTTTTCCTGAGTTGCCTGATTATGTCATTCAGTTCACCTGTTGTCTGTTCATCATCTCATTAGTTCCCTTTGTTTGGTTCATGCTTATAAGTCCTGAGTTCTCCGTTAGTCTTCATCCGTTCTCCATCTATATTAAGTTGGTTTCCGTGCCTGTTCTCCTGGATTTATCTGATTAGAAGACTTCTCGTTGATCTCCTTCATCTTCGTGCAGTTTGTATCACCAACGCGTGACAGAAGAACGGACCGACAACAGTTTTTTTTTGTTTTGTTCCCTTTTCCCCCACTCTTCGGTCACCATGGACATTCCTGCTGTGGCCCTGCTATGCCGCTGGAAGACCACACACGGGACTTTTTACATCTTGCATGCCTGACTCATTACCCTGATTGCTCGCTCTGACATGTTCTGACCAGGTGCGTGAGCCGGCAACATCGTCTGTTCACGAGGGAGTTTTGGTGGAGATCGAGGGCTTGGAGGGAAGCCACACTCCCGCCGCTGAGGGTGAGCTACAACTGGCCACTGGATATTATGAGGAACTAATGGACATTTTCCAAATGGACTGGTTTGGGGAGGTAATACCCAGTTCTCCTGAATCTCCTGTGTCTTCGCTGGTTCCGCCCAGCCCTGAATCTTCTGCATCTCCGCTGGTTCCGCCCAGCTCCTGTTCACTTGTGTTCCCTCCCAGCCTCCCTCTCCTGCCTCCTCTACAAAAACCAGCTAGTTCCTCAGTCTTATCTCCGCTGGTGCCTGTCAGTCCCTCAGCTCACCCTCAGTCAGCGCCATCTGGGCGCTCTGATCCACCTCGGGACTTTCAGTCTCCAGCTCCACCTAGGTGTGAGGATCCCCTGTCTCCGCCTCCAGCCTCCAAGTCCTGGACTCCACCTCGGTCCTTCGACCCCATCCTAGCTCCCTTGTCTCCATCATGGCCCGTCATCCCACTGGCTCCACCAGGCTTCCTCGTCCCTCCAGCTCCACCTTGGTCAGTGGTCGACCATCCGCCGCCTTGGGACTCCACTCCTCCGGCTTCACATCGTCACTCCGTCCCTCTGGCTCCTCCTTCCCTCCGGCTCCACCTTTGTCTTCAGTCGCTCCGGCTCTGCCGCGTTCTTCCGGATCCCTGCCTCCAACTTGGTCGCCTAAGCCATCAGCTCCGCCTTGGCCCTCCGGATCCTCGGTGTCGCCCTGGCTCTCCGTCTGTTCGGTCTCCACCTCCAGTGGCTCCGTCTCCATCGTTCGTCCCCAGGGTGTCGTCAAGGCCTTCTCCACCATGGCTCCTCCCTCCCTTGACTCCACCTTGGGGCCTCGTCCTGGCTGGTCTCTGGACCAACATCTGGCTCCTCCTGCTCCTGGCTTCCCCTTGGCTCCTCCCACCCTCCACTCCCCCTTAGACTTTTTTGGACTATTTTAGTTTCTGCCTTTCTCCTGCTCCACGCCCTCCTCCAGAGCACCCACCCTCCCTCCTCAGTTGGACTTCGTTACGGCGCAGGGACGTGCCTTCTCGGGAGGGGCGAACTGTTACATGTATGCCTTATTTTCTGTTCTCTCCATTGTGACCTAGTTTTCCTGAGTTGCCTGATTATGTCATTCAGTTCACCTGTTGTCTGTAATCATCTCATTAGTTCCCTTTGTTTGGTTCCTGCTTATAAGTCCTCAGTTCTCCATTAGTCTTTGTCCATTCTCTGTCTATGTTAAGTTGGTTTCCGTGCCTGTTCTCCTGGATTTATCTGATTAAAAGACTTCTCGTTGATCTCCTTCATCTTCGTGCAGTTTGTATCACCAACGCGTGACAATATGTACAACACTGGTGATTTTTCACGATTCAGATTTCTGTCTGTGGAACACTAAAAAAGACGTTTAGTAAAATGTCCAAGCTGTCCTTTTCCACAGTTAAAGTGGATGGTGACCAGCCTGGGCTGCGTTTCCCAGTTGAGCTAATTTGATCGTAGCTCCATTGGTGGCAATGGGTCTACGATGTACTTAGACTTATGATGCTTTTGGGAAATGCAGCCCTGGTCATTCTGCTAAACATCTTCTCTTGAATAGCACTGCAGATTTTATAATTCTTACCAAATGTCTGAATATAATGATGATCTCTATAACTAGAAGGAATGAAGGGAGTTCCACTGGAGCTGATACACACATAAACAACAAACTCATTGTGTTGTAACAGTCAGGAGGAAAAGGGGAGAGGCCACGGTGGCTCATAACAGCGGAGCAAAAGCACAACAGTGGGAGTGAAAAGCACATTCTACCCACAAGGACATGCACAATACAGGCCATAATCCCTATGGATAAACACACAGCTGATTTCCAACAGCACAGCAAAGATGCCCAGACCTTTCCCTCTGCGTGTGTTTGAAGTGGTGATCAAACGTTGTCAGCATCATGAACTACCACTATGATCTCTACTTTGATGTGGGTGCACTATATATTTTTTCTCTGATTTAAATTGTGAAACAGAGCAATCAGACTTCACTGCTAAACTCTTCATTCAAGGTATCAAGTACTGTAATCTGTGATGAAGGGTTTAGCAGGCAAGTCTGATTGATCTATTCTGGTGCAAGTTCAACAGTCTTTCCCTCGAGGACACGGGACCTGCCCAACAAGCTACTGGAAACAAAGTAATAAAACCAATATACAGTGGGTACGGAAAGTATTCAGACCCCCTTCAATAATACTTAGGACCATGTGATATTTCAGTTTTTCTTTTTTAATAAATCTGCAAAAATGTCAACGATTCTGTGTTTTTCTGTCAATATGGGGTGCTGTGTGTACATTAATGAGGAAAAAAAATTAACTTAAATGATTTTAGCGAATGGCTGCAATATAACAAAGAGTGAAAAATTGAAGGGGGTCTGAATACTTTCCGTACCCACTGTATGTCATTTTTATGACAACTGAGCAGGTGAATGACAGCTGCCTTTGTAAGACTGCATTTGGTTGAGCTATATCTCACAAAACTGAAAATGATTAGCTCTGGTAATTAGCTATTGCTAGAAAAAGTAAAGCTGTTAAAACACAAGTACTCACATGATTACTATTTTAGGTACTATGGTAAATGGGTCAATGGCATTATATATATATATAATTTTTGTGGGGAGCATAAAGTCATGTGAAGGTGATACAACTGCCCTGCATGATATCATAATAGAAAAGACTAATTTAAATAATTACATTATTAAAATAAAAAAAATGAACCAAACTTTACTTTTTAGGTAAAAAAATTATATTAATTATATTAAATATTATTATATATTAACTAAAACAAAAACAATTCTAAAAAAATATGTCATTGCTTATATAAAAAAAATAAAAAAAATAAAATGAAATTCAGCCAAATCTAAGTCATGTGGTGCACCCAAAATGTAGGGTAAAATAAATAAATAAAAAAAGAAACAGAAAATCTCATTACGAGACCACTGTAGATCCTCATGACTATGTTTCAAATTCAATCATCTCTTAAAATATCACATAATTTGATGTTTTAATAACAAGGCAATGTTAGTTCAGATAGTAAAATGTCATGTGGTGCAACTCTAAAAAAAAAATTATATTTATAAATAAATAAATATATATATAAAATAATGATTCAGATGTGTACACTCACATATACTCAGGGTGTAAGGAAAACTCTTGAGAAACAAACAGTGCAGGAGATTATTGATGAATTAACTAAAGGTCACATTCCATGGTCCTGTCTGTGATCTAATTCTACCTGCAGAAAAACAATGATATGAGCACAATGATATCAGATGGGACTTCCTGACAGTCACCTCATCTGCTAAGGCTCTCAGCTCTGTGAATACCGGCACATCATAATAAACCATGACATGCAGTAATCGTGAGAATCAGCCCATAGCAATCCTTCTCTATTGTCATCAGCCTGCAAGTCTGGGACAGCACAC